AAAACCCCAATAAAACAATAAAGAATGCAAATTTAAAAGCAATATAGTATGACAACTATTCACATAGTATTTACATTGCACTAAGTATTATAAGTAATCTAGAGATGATTTAAAGTATGAGGAAGTCCATAAGTTATATGCAAATACTGTATCATCTTAAAACTTGAGCATACAAGATTTTGGTACTTGAGGAAGCAGTCCCCCATATCTAGGGATGACTTTATATCATGGTATACAAAGGAACAACTTCATGTCTTAAAATCTTGCGGGTGGACAGTAAAATGTCAGTTTTCTCTGTACATCTTCAAGATGCTTCTACTTAAAATTACTTTTGCAGTGAAATCAGTCTGGTCATTCACATCAACAAGTCTCTTGATTTTTAGACATAAATAAAGATACCTTTTTCTGTTTTTTTTCTCTCTCTTTTTAAAAAAATGTTACTTCTTCTGATTTAGAGTTTTGTTAACCTCAGCAACATTGTTTCCTCGAGTTTTTAGGCAAAAACATACTGGAAAGTCTGCAATATTTTTCTAATGTGCTTTTGCCACATGTCTTTTAAGGCTCATCTGTATGACCCAAATCTGTCCAGTGTGTGCACTTGTCATACATTTCTCAAGTATTATTTTGGAGATTTTCCAGGCCCGCAGTGTTCTTGGTCATGCAATTTTCCTTTATCTTTCCTTCTCTCTTTTGTATCCTTACTTTCTCCATGTATTTTTAAATTAACAATATTTTTAACCTGTGGAACCTTTTCAGGTGCCTATTTTTGGCTCCAGAATAGTAGTACTTATATCTTTAGATCCTAAAATCTGAAGAAGCATCTTGGATGAATTCACAGCTGCTAAATTTATCAAGTGACATTTTAAACTCTGTTTAGAATGGATTATTATCAGATCAGTAATCAATGAATAATAGCAAATGATGCAGAATCCTAAACATGTCTTGTTCTTTTTTCTCTCTGTGCCTCACGTATATTTATTAGGAAACACCTCAATGATTTCTTGTGTACACACCCTGTCACTATTGTAGGCTATTGTATCATAGAATTATACTCCATGTATTTAATTCAAAATAAACGTATTTATACAATAATACTAGTAGACATTAATTTGTTCTACATTAACTTTCTAGAGAATAGACATTTTATTAATTTAATATGGAAATAAATGAGTGTACCTAAATCATAGTAAACCTTAATGTATTATATATTTTAGTCTACCTATCAGAATTTTTTGGATCCATTAATATAAAATGTGAAGAGTGAAATAAAACACTTGGGCCTTTTGGACGGCAGAGGGTAGGAAGAGGGAGAGGATCAGGAGAAATAAGTAATGGGTACTAGGCTTGATACCTGGGTGATGAAATAACCTATACAACAAACCCCCATGACACAAGTTTACCTATGCAACAAACCTACACTTGTACTCCGAACTTAAAGTAAAAGTTAAAAGTATGTAAAAAACAGTTAAAACATATTAAAAATTAAATTACACAGAAATTGTCATAGTGCTTCTTGCTTTATTTTACTCATGACATATTATAATGTTAATATTTGTTTTCATATATTTTCTTTGGCTATTTGTACACATTATTTCATATATCTTGGTATTTGTAGTTTCTCCAAACAAAAATATTTGAAAAAGTGCAATCAGACATTGAAAGAGAAGTATCAGTGAAGTATATTCATAGGCAGAGATAGGACAAATAAGGAAAAAAATTGATCAAATATAAAAGTCATAAAGTTATGAAAAAAATTAGCAGGCGAAATGAAAGAAAATGATTTGAGAGTACTGAATGTAAAAGTATGCATTTAAACCATGATATTCTAACCTAATTTCTAAGTATATATTTATATGTTTTATATATATATATATATAGTTGTGGTTCATATATCTTCAATATTTTCTTGTGGAAACAAACATTGAGATTACATAGCATAAATTTTAAAATAGATTTTTTCCTCAGTTACCATTATTTATTTGTTTTATCTTACATTTAGTGTACTTTTTCAATTATACTATGGCTTAGTTTGGAATGGACATCAACAGGAACAGTTTACATGAAAACTTTGTTTTAAAAAGTCTCTATAGTTAACTCCTGAAGACATAACCATGATAAAATGGCCACATCTTTTGTACAGATTTTTTGTTAAGAAAAATTTAACTCCCTCACCTCTGAATTTCGTACATTTTCTTCATGTATTTTATAGAATCAAAAAAGTGAATATAAATATGTGTACTGCAATTGTTATTTGTGGCAATAATAGAACTAAATTAACTCTCATAAATCTATTTCAGATCTACTGAATTTGAGCAAATCATGCCTTTGTTAATTGGCTTTGATGACATTACTGAAGAGTATTCCGTATCTTCGATGTATTTTCTGAATTTTTTTATTCTAGCTGTAAAACCAGATATACTTTTGGTTCAGTCCTGTTTTTTCTATGTACTAACAATACAATCTCGTACAAATTACTCAAAATCTCTGACTTTATTTTTCTAATAGTTAAAATGAGTATAATGTCAATGTCATGGAGCTGTTACAAAAACTAAATGAGTGGCTATACTTTCTGAATACCAGTTGCCTCAACCTGACTTTGTTTACTCTTTTTTATAATGCAGTGATACAACCCAAAAATATGAAAATCGCACATTGGAAATAAATGATAGTGGAATATTTTGAGTACTCTACTGTTAATTATGTAAGTAAATGGGAAAAGTGCAGGGAGGATATTGATGTCTTGCTTTTCTTCAGCAGAGCTGCATTTAACATAAAGGGGAGTCATTTTATTGAATAATAAAAGACTGACAATCATTGTGATTGGCTGACAGCCATTACTGCAGTGTAATTCTAAATAGCTTGTTTTTCAAAGTTCTTCTTGAACAACTCTTTAAATTCCAGACATTGCCCAGCCTGGTTGAAAGATTCAAAACTCATTTTTAAAGTGAAGTTTTTCACATTTGAATACCACTGTGATATGAATGATGGAAAAAGATATGCATTAAAATATTTTCTTCTTAAATGTTTAGGTCAGATATATTTTCAGATGGAAGAGAAAATGTGGAAAATTTAACAAACCAAGTTTTAAATCCTAGATAAAATTCATTCAGGAGTTATGGAAGAAAAAGATCACGTGTAAAGAGATCTTACTTAAAAAAAAAAGTCCAACATGTTTTACAGTGAAAGCACAATATTTGATCTATATTAACCAGCTTAAAATCCTGTGATTTCCGAGTACAACTCAAGGCTTCCAAAGTTATCAAATCCACTTTGATATATTCATCTCTCTTAGTCAGTATTTCTAATCAACAATCCTCCCTGGAAAGTATGTATAATAAGTGGGTGTACAGTTGGCAACTCACCAAAATAAATATTTAATGATATTTTAATGGCTATTTTAAATCTCGTTTATTTAAATTGCAGATTAAAACTTTATTTGGCCAATGAATTTCTAAGCTCAATGTTTGAGAACCATATTTGCTACTGAAGCTCTGTGTGAAGGATGTGTACTTAATTTTCAGAATGTCGAGGTTAGATCATCTCTGGTGGAGGCATTTTATCTGAAACGTCAGCATTGGAAACCTTGAGATAAAGATCGGAAGCAGGAATCTGTGAAGTGCAGAATTGTGTTAACTGCTCATTCTCAAACATAGAGATGCCAATTAATTCCACACAACCTAGATTCAAAGGAGCACAGGGAAATGGTCCTGAGGTGAGTATTGTACAAAAATGAAGAAAAATAGATGCGTTCCAGCGTCCACAAAGCTGATTCTTCAACAGGCAGTAATAGAAGCCCAACGCACCCAGCGATTGGCTGATGGCATCTTTGTTCAGGCGATCGATCAGCGCCCTAACCCAGACGCTGGGTGAAGAAATTCCTCTCCCACCCTCACCTTCAGAATCCACTGCTCAGTCACCTGGGTTCCCGCGGGGTGCGCCACCGCCTCACTGCTGGTACACGTCTCCCCCTCTCGACTGCCAAGTGCTTGCTCCCTCCAGGCGAGCACTCACACAATGGACTCACTTGTTTCCCTTGCCCCTCTCCTTTGACTTCCAGCCTCAACCAACAACTTGAGCAAGAGTCAAGCAAGAGTCTCTGCCATAGAGCATAGACCCGTAGAGCTTTCCAGACCAGCTCAGAAGCACGCGCGCACACACAGACAAAACAAACAATGCCTGGTCCACAAATGAATAAATTGAAGACACTCATGCCCCCACCCACCGCTCCGCAACCCGCAGAAAGAAACCCGGGACGGGGTTTCCTAAATAAGAGATTTTGTTGTGTCTTTCAAACTGCAAGCATTCCCCCTTGAAGACGGCGAGAGGCTGTGCGTTCAGTTGGCAATAAAGATTGACGGTGGCTTTGCCCGTGACAACGCCCCCAGCATCGCGCTGAGCCAGGTTCCCTGAGAATCCGGAGGGGGAAACGCAGATCTAGGGAGGAGGGAACAGCAGAGGCAAAGGGAGCTTGGGAGGAATGGGAAATGGAAGATAAGGGGTGGGGGGGGGGAACCACGAATGAGTGAATCTGGGCTCGAATAGTAAAACTTCCAGAGAGAAGAGGGTGGGATCTCTCCCCAGGTGAGATCTCTCCCCTGGAGATGAAATATAGATGAAATACACAAGGAAGTGGCAAGCAACAACTTTCAGGTGAGCAGCAAGTTGTGCACCTCCTCTCAAGGCGCTGGATCAGCACCCTCTGAGCTGCCCCCACAGCACACACTCCCAATCCGAGGCGGCGGCGGCAGCAACAGAGGCAGCAGCAGCAATCGCGGCAGCGGCGGCAGAGGCGGCGGCAGCTGCGCGCCTCGGGCCCAACCCCGCTCGGCTCCCCCTCTCGCCGGCGCCCTGCCTGTCTTGCGTGTGCGTGTGCGTGTGCTCAGCCTCAGCGTGAGGGGCACCTGCTCGTCTGGGCTCACAGCGGAGGCAGCCTCGCCGCGAGCTGCCGCTGCCGCTGCCGCTGCTGCCGCCACTGGTGCTGCCGCTCACAGGCGCCAGGCTCCCCGTCGCCGCCGCCGCCGCCGCCTCGCCAGCCAGAGTTGGGCTCCGTGGGCTTCCCCCCTCGCAGCCTCGGTCCTTCCCCGCTGCCTGCAAGTCAGCCTGGCTCCGAGTCACGTGTCAGTGCCTGAGGCAGAGACTGCGAGGAAAAAAACGCGCTTCATTCCTTCTTCCACCGCCATACTGTATTTTATACTAAATCTCATTTTTATTACAACATTTTACTCCCGCTCGGTGAGTACCTTCTCAGTGGCATTCTTGTCCTATTCTTTTTTTTTTTTGTCCTTTTTTTTTGTTTTTTGTTTTTTGTTTTTTTGTTTTTGTTTTTTTTTCTTTTTTTCCACTTCTTTGATTATTGTTTATATTTGGGAAAGCTGGAGGAGCATGATTTTGAGCCTTTTCCTGAATCCAAGTTTTTCTAGCATGCGATCGTTCTGTAGACAAGGCGCTGTGTCTCGGAGTCCGCGGCGACCGTGCCCGCTGGGAGCGTCTCCCAAGTCCAGCAAAATGTGCAACTGGTTTTATGGAAAAAGCGATGTGAAGTATGGTGCCTATTTTTTTCCTTTGTAAAAATAAAAAGCATGTTTCTAACTCTTTTTTTGCATACTCTTTTTCTGATAACATTTTTGTATAGGTGGGATTTTACAGCAGTGTTTACAAGTTTGTGGTCTTGCAATACTGGTGCAAACCACTGAGCAAAGACATTAATTTTATATTTTTGTGCCCTTTTTGGAAGCCGGTGAGAACAAATTCGTTTTTTTCCCTCCTGTTTTTGATACCCATTGATAACATGAAACTTTTCTTACAGCTGGTGACTGGGATCATTTTTAAGCAAAATACTTTTTTCCTCCTTTAAATTAACTATGACTTTTGCACATTTGACTTTTTTAAAAAAACCGAGATAATTTTATGATAGATATCCTGATATCTATATCTATATTGTCCCTTATTTCTCCCCCTTCTCTCCCCGTAAATCAATTTTCAAATGATGGCAGTGGAAGGTTTTTCTGGAAAAAAAAAAAAAAAAAAAAAAAAAAGAAGTGCGGTTTGGTTTCCTTGTCAACGGAGGATGAAGTGAACAGCTGAGCAGCTCGCAGAGAGCAGGTACTTGGTCCCCTTGGAGGCGTTTCCCGGGTGTGCAGTGGCAACACTGGTCCTAGCAAAGAAATGTGTGAGTGTGAGTGTGTGTGTGTGTGTGTCTGTGTTTGCGCGCGCGCATCTCCGGGCAGTGTCCGCGCCGGAGGTGGGCAGAGCCGCGCCGGGAGCCAGGGAAAACCAAAGTCAGTTCCCGGCTTCAGGATCGTTTTCTAGATGTGCACAAAATACAGTCCCCTCCCCCCACCCCCCACCGTGAGCTGCGCCCAGGTCGTCTCCCGGCGGGGCGGGTGGTGTCTGCGCTGCGGGCGGCGCCGGCCGGGCACTAGGTGGCCAGCGGGCCCTGTAAGTTCTCCGAGGGCCACTTGCACAGCAGGAGGGGCGAGGGCCGTGTACGTGGCGCGGGCCGTCGGGCCGGCTAGAGGGGACCCCCAGAGCACCCGGGAGATGGGGGAAGAAGCGGCAGAGACCGCATCTTCCGGAGGGACTGGCTCCAGGCCACGCGGGCCGGAGCTCGAGACATTTCCAGAGCCTTGAGGATGGCACCGGCCCCCGCACGCTCAACTCCTGCTCCTCCTCTTCGCAATGAGTAAACGACGCAGTAGGTCTTTCCCAGCCTATTTTGCTTTTCCAAAGGGCTTTGCTTTCTTAGTGGTGCTGTCTTTGGATCTTTTCTTTATGCCTGTTGTGTTGCGTTGGTTTTAAGTGCCTGCTGGTGTCGTCTTCCAGGGAATGGGGAAATAGTTTCTTATAAGATGGTCACTTGGGTTTAATGTTGAGGACGACGCTGTTAGTTTGCAGTAATGACCCTACAGCTCTAAGGTATAAAAATGCCCCTTATTTAAATTTTATTAGAGGGCGAGTTTTCCCTCTTTTTAACCACCTGATACTGGCTCTAAAGGTTTTCCCCTGAGAACTGTGTACAGGGCAGGAGTGAGGGGTTGGTGATAGAGGTGATGATTTCGTGTGTTGGTAGCATTGAAATACTCAGTGTTGAATGTATTCTATTATATCTTATGATTATCCTGTTACATGTTTTCAATATAATTTAGCATTACTTTTCAGAGATGGACCAGTTCGCAATAAAAAGCCTTTTCTGTATTTAACACTGTGACAGAATCTGCTGGAAATTTTTCTGTCCAAATAAATTTCGTGAAGGCATACATCTTAAAATCTGGAGAGTCACCATTATTTAAATACTTTGATTTTCTTACCTTTTCCCCCCTTAAATGAAAAGCTTAGCTTTAAATTATCAGGTGTATATAGTTTGGATTCTGTAAAATAAACATAAGGCAAATGAAACAACTTTTTACCTCTCGGATGAAGTTTTCTTCTGGGTAACTGCAGAAATAAAAACTGACTCCAACATACAGAGGGGCCCATGACAAAGGGGTTTATAACATACACTGGCTTTTTCAAGCAAATATTTCACTGTCTGTAACCTCAGTTTGTGGAATGAAAAGTTTTATGCCTTATTTTTTACTCTTTGTGGTCAAAAAGTAAGGAGTGCAAAGGGCCATTTATCTGTAGAAGATTAAAAGTTAGTGTAATATCTGGAAAGCTATATATATTTTTTATTCACAACTCATGCAAGTATCTCAAAAGTCTTTGGACATTTCATTGTATGTGAGGTATTTTGTTCTCACAGTAGCTTTTCCCTGTGAAGGAAATCCTCTTGCGTTTATATAAAGAAGATAGTTTATGTCACTGTCTGTGGACACCATATTTGATATCTTGATGTGTATAGTTCTAAGATTTGAAGCCAATATGATGGTACTAAGCCTGAAATTAGGATTTTCTTATTTTGTATAGTGAGCTAATTACTAAAATATATGGTTCAAAGAGCTAACATATGGTTCAAACAGCTAACATAAAACATTTAAAAAGCCATTTGCAACATTCTGTGATTTTAAAAATCATTTAAATTATAACAATGTATGTACATAGAAGTGCTTATTTATTAAAAAGCAAGACAATTTATGTGTATAATATATTTTTGTATGTTTTATGTGTTGTATGTCGTTTAGTTCTTTTAAGAGAGAGAGAGACAGAGCAAGCAAGCAAGAAAGAGCTTGAGTGATCGAACCTGCATTTTCATTAAGAGAATCAGTTGCTGCCCTAAGGTAGAGGTAGTTTGTGTCTTAAGATTGGACAAAACACTAGCTGTATTGTTTGATCTTTCCCAATGAGATTGAAACCATTAATGGGACCAAAGACGATTTTAATGTGAGGACGGAGAGGTAGTTGGGCTTTAATTTCTGTAACTTAAGACCGTTCTAAGAACCTTTAGTTATCTATGTTTTCATTTATTTAAGATTCATTTTTGATTATATTGTATTCTTGTATTACATTTGTGCCTATTACATTCAAAATTTTCAAATTTCTTCCTGTGTGAATCATACAGGGAATTCTACAACTCTTAAACTGGCCACCTGTTTAGTTTTTGATTTAAAATTGTTGAAGGTAGTATCCTACATTTAGCACCGCCTACTGGCTTCTCGTGGAAAAAATACATTTTTTCATTCGCCAAGAAACCCACAGGGATTTACATCAATTTAATTGTGCAGATCTTTTCAACTGCTTACTGAGAGAGAAGGAGGGAAAAAAAGTTTGTATGCTGTAAGGAGAGAGGGTTTCCAGGGTAAAGGTAGGGACCCAGGGAAAGAAGACCCACAAATTAAATTGGCATTGGATCACTATCTGACCTCAAACATTTTACTGTCTAAACTGTGACAAAGAAATAATCACAAAATGAAAACCTATTAAATTTTCTAGGACTTTCTATGGGATAATAAAATGTGGGTATTGTTTAAAATCTTGGATTACTAAATTAATTTTACAGTGTCTTTCTCAATCGATATAAAGAAAGAAAGTTCTAGTTGGAATTCTGTCTTGAGTGTGTGGTCTGTCGAATAATATTTAAATGAATAACTTTTCATCATTGAAGATTAACAATTAATTATTTTTATATGTATTTTTCATGGACATAAACAATCACGTAGCACCCTAATTTTTTTCTTAACATGCATCAAATAGCCACACTGTGGTGTTGTATATACAAGGGGGAAAAGTTCCAAACATACAATTATAAAGACACATCCTTAGCCATAATAGATGCGTTACTTTTCTTAAAAATGATAGTTGGTTTATTTTCTCTAATTTGTATGAAAGTCTAGTGGCTGAAAGAGCTACTATAATAATACAAACAAATGATACCTTCAGAATATAAAAATTATTAATTAGAAAAATAATTTGATATGCTAAACATTTTCTTCCTAGTTAAAAGAAATGTGAAATATTTGGATAGCTATTTCTTAAATGCCGTATTTACTTATTTTAAGAGCCAGTAGTAAGTATATAGAAATTCCAGTGAGAAGTATATGTCTGTTGCATTTTTGCAACTCTACGCCAGTAAAAGTGTGGTCATATTTTGTTTACTGTTTAGTGATAGTGTAAGCAACCAAGTAGGGCATTCATTGATATAACTACATTTCAAGTCTTCAAAAAGCTCCATTATGGAAGTAGAAGAGAAGTGAAGTGGATATGTAAGATTGAATATTAAGAACAAATTTGAGAAAAATATTTCAATTACAATTGATTTTTCTCTCTGACTTTTGAAACTTTAATTTTTATTTTAGTTATTTTTATTTTTTCTTTCCAACTTTTAGTTTCAAGGGGTACGTGTACAGTTTTGTTACATGGCTAAACTGCATGTCACAGGGGTTTGCTGTACAGATAGTTTTATCACACATGAAATCTTTATTTTTAAATAATGATTAGCTGAGATTTAAAAATAATTATTTATTCTTTTATCATACTGTCATTATGACAATTCTGTGTTTTGCTATGAAAACCTGAAGTAATGATTAATTTTATTCTTCAAATTTTTATGGACTTCCAGAAAGTAAATAATAACATGTTTAAAAAGGTCCTTATCAATCTGCAGTTATTGTTATTATTTTCTATTACTATTACTATCTACTTCCAGTGACTTGTACAAATGCTTGTAAAGATCCTATTTCTATAATTCAGTATGATTCTTTGATTTAATAAATTTCTGTTCAGTAATTGGCAGGCAATATAAACTTTCATTTTATTGGCAATAAAAAGTTTATTTTGCTACATCATGATTTTGAAAACAATATTCAATAACATGTAAGCAAACCTGATTTCTGAATGTATCAATAGCAAGTTACACTGTTAACAAATTTACATAATTATACTTGTCATCAGCCTTCCTTTTATTATTAAATTTTGATGTGCAGACTATATAGATATAACATAGCTGTTGCCAACTTTAGTAGTTTTGCTTATCCTCATTGCTTTTAGATTTTCCATCATACATTGGTAATTTTGTTTTCTTTTGTTAGACTTATGTTAAATATCAAACTTACCTTGTGGAAAATTGACTTTGTGTTTTTCTAAATTCTTCCATACATTTAAAATTATTTTTGTTTGTTAGTTTTGAATTATCTTGCTATTTTTCTGGGACTGAGTCCTGGAAAATAAAGAGGCATTGGTTTAATATCTTTTTCTCTCCATTTGTAGCCACAGAGATGGCAGTTGGAGGACTTCAGTTATAGTATTTAGGATTTATATTTTCTGGACTGTCCTTGCAGACTCCTCAGCTGGGGTCAAGACTCTAAGAGTTATTTATTTGATCACGTAAAAATCTAAATGGAGAGGAAAGTTGTGGAGTAGAACGTGGAAGTCTTGCACTGGTCTTCTGAAAGATACAATAACATGCATCACTCAGTGCTCTTATATCACAAAATTACTAGAGATTTTCTGGGCATAAATATATTTGGCAAAATTCCATTTAACTCACTAATATACTTTTTGCTTAGAATAATATGGTCAAATTCTTCCCCAGACTTCAGAGTGGGAATTAATTGCATTCATACATAATCCATGTGTTTAGAGAAAATGTTTATGCACATTTTGATAGCCATATGCTAAATAATAAGAGAAGCAAGACATTTCTGAGTCATTTCAGAAATTATTAACAG